TGCACAACGTGCACAACGCCCAACACCAACCACACGCACTCAGGCAGGGCAATATCCTCGTAGAGGGTCTGAGGCACCTGAGATAACATATCCGCAGTAGCCATGCGATGCGGGGATTTTAACCGCTTTGGGGCATATCTGAGTCGTCGCACATGACGACTATCCCGAAAGCACTGTGCAGAAAGGAGCTATAGCATCTTGAATAGCACTTGAGACAAACAGGGTATTCACGTCGAGCGTGGACGTAAGTGGTCATTTCAAGCTACCTGAATCGTTACTAATTCACGAAGAAAATCCAAACAAACTCCTCTCCCGTCGGTAGGTCATCTTTATCAACAACTAAATCTTCTTCCGATGCCGCGGCACCAACTGGAACGAGACAATATCACCTACCTAGAAGAACCTCCTGCGTCAGAATCAATCTATCGATGATATACTCGAGAAATAGAAGAAAGATGACTTTCGACAACGAGGTTTTACGTGGAGTTTGCAATTCGATAAAACTATTGTTTAGTCAGCACAAGGTGCAATTCCTTGAAAGTTTGCCACTGCCTCTTGAGAAGTCACTTTTGTTCACATCAGGACTAAGTGCACTGGGTAATGGTGACGTGGTTCCGCGACTTGGCAATTTCCTATGCTGGTCATGGACTGGATGGCACTCAGAGTGGTCTTGGCACTGTGCAGTGATGGAATACGGGATAGATGACATCTCGCTACGTCCGAGGAGAGGATTGTTCTGCCGAGATGACAAATTTGCCAAAGGAACATCGCCACCTCATCCAGAATGGACGGCACATTAGAAAGGTAACGTTTGATACTCGGATGAAATCTTCCCAATTTTCCGTAGTCCCTGGCATCAGCACTCGAAACAAGCCTTCGAACTCCATCTTATCCAGACGAGATTGAAAGCGACACTCAACATAAGTACCATGTACTCCAGTTCTAGACTGTCTTCGTCGCTTCAAGTTTAGCAAACATCACAGAAGAGTGTAAACCAGCACTTCAAATCCGAAGAAGCTAGAGGAAGATTCGTTTCGGATTACGTTATCCAGGACACAGAGGGCAACATCTCCGGCTTCTTCACTGCTGACTACAAACAGCTTGCCAGAACTATCCCTCCTGTGGAATTCATCCTCCTAGCTTCTTATCACTCTTCCACGGACAATTACACGATTGAGAACCCCGGGGGTCTTCTAGGCCCGGGTGGGTACTGGGTAATGCTTATCACCTGGCTCGGGAATATGCCAGGACATCGGGGAATCGGTAGGATTTCAGATGCTTCCCTTTGACACAAGCAAAAAGAAGAGTGGAAGCAAGTTACACCTCTGTGAACAGTGTACTTTATTGGTATTGACGAATTGTACGCTAGAGGAGCGGAGTTAGAGAAGCTGGAGGCAAGCATTGTGACGGCGGAGAACGAGGGGCCGTCTTCGGAAGAGAAGGTGGCAGAGTCTCTGGTGAACATGTCTCACTCGTAGGTTCTCTGCCTCTCCAAAATCATGTAATATCGGTGTAAATGCGTTAACCAAATTTCAATCGATACATTTGTCGTACACCTCAGTACCCCAAGTTTAGGCTACGGACTAGAAAATTCAGAGACGACACCGACGCCATTCAAAGACAACCAATTTAGATATAATAATGGCCTCAAAATGCCCATGTAGGGAAGACTCCTCGTCAACGTCTCAGACCACCCCAAGCTGACGATTTTGACCTTCGCAAACTCCTCGGTATTCATCATCGCCTCCAATAGCGCCTCCTTCCACCTGCGCAGGCAATCATGAGCGGCGGCTCAATAATCAATACATATGAAAGTGTTCGCGGCCCGGCTCTCATTCCCACCTCGCAGGATGGCGTTTTCTTGCCGCAGCGCACGGACAGCGGGGGTGCGGAAAGGCCCCTTGGGCCAGGGGCGTGGTGGTATATTCTACCTTTGTATGTAGTCCTGCGGTGCGAACCGTCCGGAGGCCAACAACATAACGTGGCATTTCAGCACCTGCATGATTACCAAGCAAGCCTATCGTCCCATCACGGCAGAGATGGAATCGCAATTGGCCGTGGCTGATATTGGAGGTTCTGCGCGGGCCCAACCTGCCGAGCCGACGCGCAAGCCACTGCCTCGCTTCCTCCATTTTGGCCTTGTCTAGAAGTTCTGACGCTCCAGATACAGCTAGAAGGAGGCACAAAATCCAAAAAAGGCCATGGCCTTTTCCACATCATTATGTAGTCGGCAGATCTGCGAACATTCTCTTGAGGGGGACCTCGCCTCCGTTTAATTGTCCGCAGTCCTTTCTCATATCATCCTCATCTACGCGCTGCACCACCAATAATCAACGCTCGTTTCTCCGTCAGAGACCTAAGCACTAAATCTGCGAGTTCTACGTCTCTAGCAGTAAGTCTAGCAAATATGTTTACATCGAGTCTATCGTACTAAGAAGTCACTCGTCATCATCAGATCATGAATGTCGAGCAGAGGCCGGAGTCTTTGACCTCGATTCACGGGAAAGTTAATCCTACCACCAACCATTATGTAAAGATCCATGTTTGCCAGGCATCCTATGGAGATTGTCTGGCCCTCGAGTTCGACCACGACTCGTCAAGTCCTGGTACCATCGGCCTGACTACCTCCACGAAGGTTTTAGCTGAGAAGATCACGATCAAGAGGACCTACAAGAATAAAGCTTCAGAAAAGGTCTTGGTCTCCACACGTCTTCTCCTATCTCCAGATCCGCAGCTTAAGAAGCAGCGGGAAAAGGTATATAATCGATGATTTTCGACCACAGCACGCACTTGCTAACAGACTTCGTATAGGACGAAAGCCGTCGCGTCATCCTGATTGATGGGGGCCCGGCTCACTACGCTGCGCATGGGAAACATTTCACCAGTTCTACGCCGTCGCATGTAAGTCTAGGTGAGATGATTGCGTTGCCTGAGTTGATGCTGAGCCTCTTAGAACCTCTTCAAGATGCTGAATACTCTTGTTCCCCCTGGCAGCCCTAACAGGCTCGACACGTTGGTAGTACGTTTACACCCAAAGTTGCAATCCTACGATAGAAGTCGTTGTTGACAAGAGCTCTTAGATCACACATGACGATGCCGACCATATCAAGTTTGTCTCTCTGCCCTGAATAAGGCGACGTATGCATAGCTAATAGAACTCTCAACGTATAGTGGCATTCATCAGCTTTTCTGTAGTTTGTATATTTGTCGCTCTCTGTTAATGATCCTTCTGACTGTCCTAGGAGGAACAATCCAAGAACCACAGAAAGAGGGGATGAGTATGTATTCTTCAGAGGTGCTGAAGCGCTCAAGCATGGCCATGCGCCTTTTGCGAACATTTGGCACAACTCGGCAGCAACCATACTCCGAGTACGTCTCGCCCAATTTTCACTCGATTCAAGCAAGCTTGTCACTAATGAACTTGCTTAGACAGGACAGAACAATAAAGAAAACAAAGGATGGTTTGACAAGCACATGTTTGGCATGAAGAATGGTTGGGAAATTGACGACAACAACATGCCAGAATGCAATGCAGAATTTGGCACATACCAAATTGATAACAAAGCGCACCGATGGGCATTGGCGGGGAACCTTCCGCTTCCCTCGACCAGCGTCTTCTCATGGCGAGAACGAACCGTAGTCATCTCGAATTTAGATTCCTCTCGCCGAACAGCCAGCAACTAAATGATCTGGTATCAGCATACAACCAACCGAAAAAACTACCGAAAAAAGGTACGAAGCAGAACACGAAAGGGTAAGTAACTCCTACACCCGTAATACAACTGTAGTCCTGATTTTGTGGATGATATCTAGGTACGAGAAGGCGAAGATAATGAAGGTAGATTCGAAGGTGTTGGAGAAGATTGCAGCGCGCATTGAGGGTGCGTTGAAAGACACCAGCGTCAAGAATCAATCCTCCATCGCGTTTGTTGTGAAAGGCCGCATTGCGAGCGCAAATATGCTTGAACCTACAGAATTTACCCTGGCTTTCACTGGGGATGGCAATGCTGAGAACACGTTCCTTCCAGTATGGGAGGGAGATCCTCTCAATTACACAGTCCTCAAAGGTAGATGCCCTTTCGGCGCTGTCCCCAAAAAGTTGAAACAAGCTAACTATCTTATGAAAGTCATGCACCACGGAAGTAAACACAACAGTTGTAAGGCAACCAATAGTCATGGAGAATAATCGTTGCTAATGAAAGCCATGGTAGTCTGGAACATCGATGGCACCAAAGTCAAAAATCGTTATGACCAGGTCAAAAATAACGCTAAGTTCAAGAAGGCGTGCTGGCCTGGGAATGATCTATGGGACAACAAAGTCCCGGAAACGTGCAAAGGAACACAAGCGAATGTAAGGCCCATGGATGCCTAAAACTGCGCATCGACTAATGTATTCATGTTGAATACAGACCACGCTCTTCTTCACCAAGTAAGTATTTCATCACGGCGTACGAAGTTGCGGTCAGCTAACGAGGTTAACAGCGTGACAGCAAAGAAGTACATTGTGAGTATCTACGTCAACTTCTTAGTCAGTCGTCGGCTGACCTCGACTCAGATATCATCCTCCATTTCGGAAGGACACCAAAATCCGTGAGCAGTCTGCCTGTTCATCCATGTCAACGAATGACTCTTTTAACACGCCCACAGGCATCTGAGTACCCTCGTTGGTATCATTACTCGAGCTATTGTCCGATATGAAATTGGTGGCATTGACATCTTCCTCACGTCCCAAAGCATCGAGAATCAGATACACGAATTCTGCCTAAATTTCTGCTACGCGGACCCGGAAGATCCAGCCGGATACCAATACACGGGGAAGTTCGATGCAAACAAGAAGCCCTCGTTGTTCTGGGACGAAGAAGGCAAGTACTACCGAATTTGGCAGCTGAAACCAGAGATCGATCCTCAATTCGGTACCATCATGGTGAGTCCAAATGAAACAATGCCTGTGGGGTATGGCAGCCATCCGATGTGGGAGCGGGTTAGACCTACGTCGATATTCTACCTTAACTTTCATCGCAGGAATTTCAACACTCCAACAAGTCTCACGGTTGTCCCAGATACTCGTTTGAAGAAGAGGCAAGCACCAACTGTAGATGCTGGGGGTGTCGCGGGTGTGATCTCTAAGATACTCGCAAATGGAAAGAAGGATAAAGAGGATGAAACAAGCAACGCGACGAAGAACAGAAAGGAGCTAAAGAAATCAAAGATCGAGCAAAAGCTAGCGAATAAGCGCCGAGCAAAGCGTGATTCGAGTAGCCCTCCGCCTTCTTCGCAAGGTCGCACCGGAGGCGACCAAAGCGGCCAGGGTAATCAACGCCGAAGGTCCAGGATTCGTACTGGCACGCATTCTGGAGGGAGCACCAACAGTTCTATAGCCAATACTCAAGCGACTGCTCCAATGGTGTTTCTATCTCGACAAACCTTTTCCAGTGTTGTTCAGCCTGAAGTTCAGTTCGATGAGAGAATATCAAAAACTGTCTCGGTCAAGAAAAGTCAACCTTCGGACGAGGAATTACTGATGCCATATGAAACATTGGCACGGTTTGACGTGAAAATATCGCCGCTTCTTACAAAGCGCCTGCAACAGTTGCAAGTAAGTTGAACAGGCAGTGAAGAAATCTCCCACATTTGTCGTTGCTAATTTGTATCTCAGGGTTACAAGTTCAAGAAGCTCGCAGACACTGTCTCTTTCCTGCATCATATGGCCCTCAGCGGGTCACTCACGGCATTGCAAGCTAAAGTATTGATGGATGAGCATACTGTTGACGATAAGTTAACACTTGGTGGACTCTTGGGTCTGGTTTTCGAACCTGATCTGGCCTCCAAATTCATCGACCTCCTTCCAATGACCTTTGCCTACCCAATACCATCAGACCCCTTCTGCTGGCCCTTGAAAGGGGAGGTGCATGCTCAAGTAGCCGATTACAAAGAGACTGGGTGAGTCTTGAACACCAATCTTCAATGACAATGACTGATTGCAACGTGCAGCAAATATGCTGCCGGAAATACCGGCGTGCAAAGCATCTCATTCCAGGTCATGCCTCCCGCCGGGGGAATGGAATGGGAAGTACCATTTCAATCCACGGATAATCTGCACAGTCCCTTGACTGTCCAAATCATCGGACACATATCTTTCAACATTCATTGGCCTTTCAATACCCGTAGGCGACATGTTTACGGCTCCTTCGCCGGGCAGATCAGTTCGGGGGGAAACATCTCCCATGTAATATCTAAAAGCCTACGGAGAGGATTTGCTACTAACAAATCACTAGGTTGTTGTCGACTATCTCTATTTCCCAGAGGAAGAGGCGCCAGTGAGCTATCATATTCGGTTTGCTGACGAGATGTACAATGTATCCGGCCACAGCGTCAAATTGAGCGACATATGGAGTGTCATGCCCCTAGGTGTGAGCAGTTGCGCTAGTATTGCGACATCCATACTTTTACCTGGCATGTGATTAATTTTCCTAGAAGCGAATCATCACTAACTATGTTTATAGGGTTAACATCCCTCGTTGATGAACAATTAAGCCTTGAAGACTGCGGCTTTGCAGTTGCGCGCAGTTCGATGATGGCATCAACAGTTGACTTGAAGCGTATATTTGGCAGATTCGTATTCAAGAGACAAGATTCATGGAAGCCTTTTGGAGATTTGATCTCAATCAAATTGCCCACAATCGGTCTTCGGATTGAGAATCTCTTTTCGGTAACCCCGATAAGGGTGAGCTATAGCAACCTTCGGGTGCCGCATAGTGTGCTAACTCTTGCATAGACTTTTGTTCGGATCGAGGAGAATCTGGACATTGACGGCATCGTAGTACCCATTGTGTTCGAGACAAAACGGAACCGCGGCACTTCAGGGACAATATATCAACTCTCATATATCTCCCGGCCTGCTGAAGGATTACCTCTCAAGAAGCTCATTCGGTGGCTTAGCTTTGGACACTTGGACCTCTCGGGTATCCCTGGACTGAGCAAGCTATTGGGGACAGTCAAGATCTCCAATTTCTCTCTCGGTTGGTTTGGCAACCCAGAAGAGGGAAAACAGGCTGCATTCTCAGCGAAGCCTGACTTTGTCGAGGTTGCCATAGAAATGGATACCATGGATATCGTGCCGAACGTACTCACCGTCCAGGAAGCGTGGTTAGAGATGCGCATCGACCTAGCATCGTCGGGATCAGGGTTCAATATTTCAGCCGGCATTACCGCAACGCTAACAATCGGCGACTGCGACGTTGAGTTTCTTGTTGTATATGGAGAGCGCCCTGAATGGCGGACTCTGGACGACGAAATACCTGGTCATCTCAAGCTTGCACTCACCAGCTCAGTGAAGCCATTGTCGCTCGCCAACATTTTGGGCCATTTCATGCCAAAACAACGACTCCTTCCAGAGGCATTTTACACAATTCTGACTAACAGTGGAATTACTAAATTCCAACTAGGAGTGGAAAAAAATGAGCTCAAGAACAACCGCATCTCCGTGTTCCTCGTTGAGGTTGCTTTAGAGGTCAAGGACGTGGATATTTTTGGTGAGGGCCTCTGCATTCGAGTCTAGACGGGACCAAGTCTCACTAACGTTGCTACTACCATAGATGGTTTCAGCATCAGTGACCCGACGTTTTCTCTTCAGGTGGAGTATCCAAACGACGTGGTATGTGCAGCTGTCTATGTAGGTGTGTTTTGCGGCGCTAACTGATGCTTGATAGGCCAAGAGAAGAATCACGTCTACGATCGGAGCCATGACCAAGATTGCAGGAGTGGAAATGAAAGCCACAATATGGTTGGACATCGAAGACGAGACCACGGTTGGCTTCACGGTTATGCCTGTAGCAGACAGACTCCCACTTGGTACCCTGATCAAATTCCTCGGGGAGAAGGCCACACGTAAGTACACGAACTCCAGAATTCAAGGGAATCCTAAGGTATTGATCGCTGTCGTTATAGGAGCCATTAATTTGGATCTTCCTGAAGGATTCTCATCCTTTACGAATTTCGATTGCGGACCAATCTATCTATCGTTCTCTAAAAAGAGCGGTGAGAGATTCAAGCTCGCAACCTTTTACTTCGAGATCCAATCTACAACGGGCTACACGCTTTGGGACTACCCAACAGTTTCCTTATCAGATATTGGACTAATGGTCAACTATGTCCGAGATGTGCAGACTACTTCTGCATTTGGTGTCGTTCTAGACATTGCAGGCACCAAGCTGTCCGGACATCTGACCTACTTGTCTGAGGCAGACAATCTTCTCAATAACGGCAACCAGTCGACTGCGATGACCACTACTGGTAAAACAGGAGACCTGAAAGTCTGGACTGCAACCGTAGGATTCGAAGGCGAGATATCATTGCACTCAGTGCTGTCTTCACTGATAGGCGTTGACGTTCCGAAGTTCTTCGACGAAGTGCGCCTGGACTATCTCAAGAAGCTGACCGATATCAAAATTACTGAGGTGGAGATGGCTCTGTCGAAGTCTACCGAAGCCAGCAAAGTTAAGCTACGTGCACAGATAGAGTGCCTTGCTTTCGATTCGGTGGAGTTGGTAGCTTCTAAGACAACGTCTTGGGGGTTCACCTTGTCATTGACCTGCAAAGACGGCCCTTTGAAGCTACTTCCGGACGTCTGCGCTAACGCTGTTAAAGAGTACGTTACTTTCCTCGACACGAGTATCCATCTTTTCTATGGCGCGATCGACATCAGCAGCCAAAGGCAAGGCTTGATCCTGAACCAAGAAGCCATGACAAACCTGAAGTCATCCGGAGGCATCATGATTGCTACCAGCATGAAGTTCGACATGTCAAAAGCCGAACTTTTAGCGAAATGGTTCAAGAAGACCGAGCTGCAAGTCTTCGGTGCCGCCGGCTATGGCTATTTCGTCTTGGGTGTTCTCATCCCTGGGGAGCTCGAACTGCTGGACGGAAAGTTGAAGGTCTCGGCTAGTTTCTTACTCTCATATTCACAGAACAAGTTCTTTATTGGAGCTTCTGGGGACTTCAAACTCCAGCTTGATGCTATTTCGAAGGATCTCATTGTGGGAAGTGTCACCGTAGGCATCACTCTCCCCAAATTTGGATTGTCTTTCACTTTTATCACCACTACGCGGCTCCGGAATGTCTTCAAAATCCAGGGATTCGATCTTGAAGCACTGGGTATTAGCCTTGAGCTGTTGCCAGCAAGTGGGCTTACGCCAACGTTATTTTCACTAGCGGGAGGAGCAAAATTAGAGGGCTTTGATAACGTTGCAGGAAGGTATGTCACACGCCCATAGACCCCTCTCATGTCTCAATGGTTTACAATTTGCAGTATTGCATTCCAATTCGACGTGACGGATCCAACCAACTGTTACCTGTCCGGGAATCTGGAAAACCTGAACCTTGAAGCTCTACTCACCAAATTTGCGGCCGACATCCAACGTCCAACGGAGATCACGACTTTCCTCGGCAAAAATGACGTTGATTTCAAGAAGCTCAATATCGAGCTCGCGTTGAAGAAGACAAAGGACATCACTGGGACTAGAGATATCAAGCCAGGGTTTCACTTTGAGGGTGCACTCTCCATCAGTGGGTTTTCCTCTCTATTCTCGATCGATATAACTGCTGATAAGCGTCTAGTCGCATTCGGGAAGCCTGTATGGGCTGGATACACGCTCATCGACGTCAGACCGCCGAGCTTTGTAGTCATCGCGCTGATGGAGCCCGTCGTACCTTATCCATCAAATCCTGGCGTTTTCAGCCTCAAGCGTTGGAACGACAACACCAAGCCAGCGTACAAGCTCGAACTTCCAAACGTGGACCCTGCCTACTTAACCCCTGCCATGCTCAACGACGGGCCGGTCTTGAAGGTGGCAGTGGGAGACGGTGACAGCAACCCCGTACTCATTTCCTTTAGTCTGGTCTTCATGGGAAGCGATCCGCAGTACCTCTCCATCCGCGTCAACGACGACAGCTTCTTCACTGAGTTCCAGTTCGGCGATTCATCGCTCTCACAAGTCAAGGCCAAGGTAACATGTGCCTTCAACTCAAACATTGCCATCACCGCAACGCTCAGCCTCCGCATCCCTGCCGTCGTCCTCAAATTCGCATGCCAACTCACCTCCGTCTTTGTCTTCCCGGCCGGCGATCTAGCGAAAGACTCCCAGAGCCCAGTCGGATTAAACGGAGACCTTGAATTGTATGCAGGTTGGGGTTCCGGCAAGGTCGGGTTCAGCGTTACCTTATGGGCAAGTGCTACTGCGTTCAATAAAACCTGGAAGCTGGGCCACATCGGCAAGCATATCCCCGAAGAGGATTTGAGAAGCATAGCAGCCCTGATCAGCCGCATGGCCAAGGTCCTCCACGACAACTTCTCCCGCGTGTTGAACGAGTGGGTCCAGAGTGCGCAGACGGTGATGGAAGATGCCATCAGATTTGTCAAGAACACGTGGGACACGACTTATGTGGAGATCGTGCGCGTGATGGTGTCTCTCCGGGACGTTGGCTTGCCCACCGCGCTCCTCGGCACTGTCGGCGCGTTTAACCTCCCCCTCAAGGAAGCCATTGACCTGTTCAAAGAATTTGGTTTGAATACTTGGGAGGCTTTGAAGTTCCTGGGCAGGAAGATTGGGGATCTATTCTCATTCCAGGTGGCATTAGATGAGGATGGGAAGATGATCGGTGAACCACCGAAGCCACCGCTGTTCGAGGAACCGGTCATGGAGGGGCTGCAGCAAATCAATAGGGCCATGATGACGGCTCGGAGTGATGAGGATGTCTTTTTAGTATCAAAGCAGCCGCTACCGGATTGGTATGTGGAAGAGATGCTAGGCCGCGACGAAATCGCCGACGTACCGGAGCTGGATGTCGATACGGGAGAAGAATCCGAAGTGTGGTCCGAGGGAGAGGAAGAAACCACAGAGAAGCAGACTGAGGCAGAACATGCGAAGACTAGGCAAGAGCGTGCAGTTGAGTTGAGAGAAGAGTCGGCGAAATTCACCAAGGAGGAAGTTCTAGCGATCGCAGAATGCTTGCTCAAGGCAGGGTATAGGAAGGACGAAATTGAGGACATGGTCAGAGAAGAATTTGGATTGGAGGAAAACGCGGTTCAGAGTGTTATGGTTGTTTGATTGAGCAGATCCTAGATGGATTACCTTTGGGATCAGAAGATACTTGGTAAGAAGGTATGAGAGTAGGAGTGCAAGTCTGCGCAGGACCTGAGCTTTAGGTCTTTAAGCTCATCCTCCTAGTCATTGATTTGCAAAAATGAGAGTGATTTCCTCATCCTACCACCGCCCTCCTACGCACCTGGAGATTGAAATCGACCACTCGTGAAGCCAGAAAGACCTTACCAAAGCTTTATGTGGGCCCGTATAGATTCAGATCATCCGACATCCGACATCCGACATCCCCGAGATACATACCATGATCCAAGCGCATCCAAGTGAATCACCCTAGTGAATGGATGCTGGGACGACGTGTATGCTTCCCCAAGGCCCAACCTGGGATCTCGGTTTCATCGCGGGCCTAGGAATTGCAAAGGCCCGTTCGCAAAGGCTCTCGTAGCCCGATGAGCCCGAAGAGGGCACCGTGCGCTTATTTGCACAGTTCATTTGTAAGTTTGTAGGTTGTCTAGACTAGCTACTTTGCGTTTGGTCTAAGATCATAGAAACGGCTTGAAGCACGTTAGCTAGCGGTAAACTAATGTGGATACTTAGATTGATGACAAGAGTATTTGAGGGAGGCGTATAGAGGCCTTCAGGATTCTAGATACACTGTCAGTGCTGATCTTACGCGATGTAGATTTGTGCCTGTCGAGTGTTGACCGTTTCAGGGTCTCTCTCAATGCGCCCCTTTTGCAAAATTAGACGAGATGGCCAGTGTGAAGCGGTGATGCCCAAGTGAAGGTGGAGCTTTTATGAAAGTCTGAGGTGCAAAACTAATGACATGTGCAAATCTGATACTAGTATGTTAAGAGGTTGCACTCACCCCAGATATTACAGTCTAGAGAAGGACCAGTCGCTTGGCAATGTCTGAAGGATCAGTAAAGGTGGTTACAGTGGACATGCAGACACACGCGAACGTTTGAACATCGATGACATGTGGACTGCGATTGGGCTGCCATTGCTAAGGGTGCGATACGCCACCATCTTACGCGTGTGTCGGGTACAATAGAGGGTTCCAAAGTTGAGAAGCTGAAAATAGATCTCGAGCTACTCGATATGACCCACGTGTGGATCGCGGCGGACGTCTGGAGCCCCGACCTTGATGCTTGGGAGACATGGGATATTTTCACATCTCTTGGGTCGGCAGGTACCTGAGCAGTGCCATTGGCCGTTGCACTACCCCCTTCCCTCTCAGATGTGACATGGCGATACGGATCCCGAAAGCCACAAGCAAGCGGAAGAGGCGAGCGGATGTTGATACACTCTCCCCCCTGTACGGACTGGACACCGCCGTGCGCAAAACAAGGGTTTTTGTATGTAAAATCCCCTGTTCTACGCACGGTGGTGTCACCACAGTATGGTGGCGAGACCGTGCACTCTGTGATTTTCACGGCTGAACAAAAGCGGTAATCCGCGACGACGCACGACATACATGTCGGTGGCGGCGGGACCAACGACATGTCTCTCGAATTCTGCGAACGTCGCTTTTTCGCGTATTCTACACCGTGGTGTTGAGAATCGCGATCGCAGTACCATCCTGGCCAAACCCCCTTACGACCGTGATGATGCAGACTCCGAATTTGTCACATCTAAACAGACACCTGGACAGTCCGTTTCCTCGCAGAGCTTCCCATTTTCTTGACTCACGCCAACCCTATTGCCTGCGCTTGCTATGGTACTGCCCTCGTTGAGATCCAGATGTCCTCTTCTTATCAGGGGGAGGGGTTTTCGGGAGACCCATATATCATCCCAACAAGGCCCACAAAGCGTAGTCGACCGGCGGAGCGGCCGAGCCGGATGTTCGCGCCATCGCTATCTCTAGCTCCTGCCACCCACCCATCGCGACCCAGGAGTCACTTGGATACCAACTAGAACCGTGGTGGGTGTTTGGGGGGACATGCCACCACCGATGACGCGCAAAAAAGGTGGGTCCATGATGCTGTTTTTCATTGAGAGCTTTTCCTCCGACGTTCACCCTTCCACACCTTTATCCAGCTTACGCAGCGGTTGAGTCTTCTAGACCTTTCGCGTGCCTTTGTCTTCTCTACACAATGGCCTGCGTCGAATTCTAATCTACACTCTGTCTATTATGCTCGCTGCGACGCCGACTATCAGCTGCATATCTAAGTGATCCACAGCCCACTTCGCATCTCCACGACCCGAGCAGGCACAATTGGCTTGCATCTACGACGTCGACCTCGTCCTCTTATCGGACTTGATCCACTTCGTTGCAGATCCGCCGCCTAACCCTTGGGCGTCGCGTCGCTACCTTATTTTAACTGTCCTTGGCTGATAATTGTCCGCCATCACGTCAACGTCCGCTCTCGCTTGGCGTCCCCAATCTGCACTACTTCATCCATTGGGCACGTGGCTTTGCTTTTCAGCTTCAGAAACGCTGTACTACCCTGAATTGACTGAGCAGAGGCTGTCAGAGGCCCTAGCATCCACTTCTCCTTCCCGTCCCACGGTCGTCACCCTTTGGGAAACCCCAGCACTGTCTGGAACCTGTCCCTACTCCCTGGGTGCACTTGTATCGTGGCCCACAGGTAGTCCGCGCCGGCCCTGTTTCGGTGGACCTGCCTCGCGTCCCACAGCCAGATATCGATCCTAATTTGCAGTGCGCAGGAGCTACTGGTCGAGTACTCATAGCCCGTCATGGAGCCCTCAGATTCCTGGGATGCCGAGCACTTCGACGCTCATCATCATTATTCTGAAGAGTCAATGGACCAGCCACATTCCCACAAACGTGTTGGATTTATCGACTCTCCGCGAGAATCCGGTGCACCCTCCCCGCCCTCGCCGGTGATTTCCGCCACCCCCGATACACCTTCAAATTCACATTCACATCATGCATCGCCAGTTAGCGGGATCGAACGACCCGATGTATCTCACGACATTTTACACGCTTCGGTTCAAGAGATGTTGACCGGACATCCTCCACCGCCATCGCCTCGACCGATGCCAGAACCTAGGCTCGAACCCCCGCCAAAGCCAAGACCAGCTATACGGAAGGGAACCCGCACGCCGCCAGTAGAATTCTTCCTTGGAGACGACTTGCCTAACGATGCCAATGTGGAAAAGAGGCGATCGGGAATCGAAGCTCAGATACGTGCTACAAGACTAGCCCAAACTTTGGGCAGCAACTCAGCGCCGGGTTCTCGGAGGAGCTCTGCTGAGTTTGCACCACCGGCTATGGGAAGCCAGCTGCGAAGATTCGATAATATTCCTCTTACGGACTATGGAGGAACGGAAACACCTGGCGACCTCAGTGAAGAGGACGAGGCTCCAACGACACTCAAGCAGAAAGAGTTCCTAGCACAAGCTGACCATTTGCTCCGACAAAACACAAGCAGAGTTCGCCAGAGGCCCGACGACTTTCGGTACATAGAGGCCAGTGGCCTCGCATCTGGCCAGATTACACCTACCAACGAGCTCGAGCCAGCAGATACTTACGTCCCGGTTCCTTCAAAGTACCGAACAGGTATCCTCGGCACACTCTTGAAGGCGAACGGCAACTATCCATCTGGTCAATCTTCAGGCGGGCATCAAAAATACCCCTCAGATTCCTTCAGCGGTGCGTCTACGGCGGCCAATACTCCGGAACACTCTCCTCCCATATCTGGTGCTAGTACTCCTGGCACCAGCACTCCATTGAATTCTCATCACAATGCACGACATTGGTACTCCCGAAGTAGCAATAACTCCAGCAATGAACTCCACTCATCCATATCTAAGCTCGTCGAGTCATCGACTGGGCTCGCATCTCCAGTACAAAGAGATCTTGGCGAAGAGGTTTCGGCGAGGCTGAAACACTCCAAGCACAAACCACCAATGGGGAAGCGAACAAAGAGCGCCACTTCCATCGCCTCTGCATTCAGCAGAATGAGCAAATCGAGCCGCGACGAGCAGATCAAAATCAAGATCCACCTTGCTGGTACGCTTGCCCGGCAGCAATATCTGCGCAAATTATGCAAAGCCTTGATGAAGTATGGCGCCCCGACTCACCGTCTGGAGGAATACATGAACATGTCGGCCCGTGTTTTAGAAATCGAAGCCCAGTTCCTCTACATCCCGGACTGCATGATCATCTCTTTCGACGACTCCTCGGTCCATACCACCGAAGTCAAACTCGTCCGCACCGCCCAAGGCGTCGACCTAGGCAAGCTCCGCGATACGCACGAGATATACAAAGACGTCCTGCACGACCGTATCGGCGTCGAAGAAGCGACCCCACGCCTCGAAGATATCATCAATCGTAAAGCGAAGTACAGCCCTTGGTTCTTGGTCCCAGTCTACGGCCTCGCATCCGCCAGCGTCGGTCCCTTCGCCTTCCAAGCACGCTGGATCGACCTCCCCATCGCCTTCCTGCTCGGCTGCCTGCTCGGCTGGCTCCAGCTCATCGTCTCGCCCCAGAACGAAATGATCTCCAACGTCTTCGAGATCTCCGCCGCCGTCATGACCTCCTTCCTCGCGCGCGGCTTCGGGTCCATCCGCGGCGGCAACCTCTTCTGCTTCTCCGCGCTGGCCCAATCCAGCATCGCCCTCATCCTACCGGGCTTCACCGTGCTCTCCGCCTCGCTCGAGCTGCAATCCCGCCACATCGTCGCCGGCTCCGTGCGCATGGTCTACGCTATCATCTACTCGCTCTTCCTCGGCTTCGGCATCACCATCGGCACCGTGCTCTTCGGCCTCGCCATGCCCACGGCCACCTCCGCCACGACGTGCGAGAACCCCTTATCCTCGGACTACTACCCGCTCTTCGTCTTCGCCTTCACCCTCTGCCTGCTCGTCATCAACCAGGCGAAGTGGAAGCAGGCTCCCGCCATGCTCTTCATCTCCCTCGCCGGCTACGTCGTCAACTTCCACTCGTCCAAGCGCTTCGCCGGCAACGCGCAGGTCTCGAATACCCTCGGCGCGCTGACCATCGGCGTCCTCGCGAACCTCCACGCGCGGCTGGGGAGGTACGTCGACAACTGGTTCCTGGACCGGTGGGAATCTACGTGGCGGCCCAAGTGGCGCCGCACGCGGAAACGCTTCTCGCGCCGCCACCCCTGGACGTCGCTCAACCCGTTCGCGCGCAGCGACCACAAGAAGAGCGCCAGCAGCGAGCACGCGGCGACGTGGGCGCAGAGCTCGCCGCCGCTGCGGCCCGCCATGGGCGCGCGCCTGCACTCGGACGACTCGTCCGTGTACCAGGCGCGCCCGCGCAAGGTCGGGTACGGGCTCGCGGCCGCGGCGATGCTGCCGGCCATCTTCGTGCAGGTCCCCTCGGGCCTATCCGTGAGCGGGAGTCTTGTGAGCGGCATCACGAGCGCGGACCAGATTACGCGGAACGCGACGGGGGTGACGACGGTGGCGAATGCGACGGTCGAGGCGAGCGGCGGGACCAGTATCAATAGCGTGGCGTTTACGGTGGGGTTTTCGGTGGTGCAGGTCGCGATTGGGATTACCGTGGGGTTGTTTTTGGCGGCGTTGTTGGTGTACCCTGTGGGGAAGAGGAGGAGTGGGTTGTTTAGTTTTTGAGTGTGATGGGAGAGGAGGAGGGGGGGGGATTGGAGAAGGGGATGGTGCATTGTTAAACGGCTTTTTTTGGGAGTTGGCATTGCGTGGATTGGGATTGGGATTGGGATTGGGATTGCATTTGTGGATTTAGCGTGGGTGGTTCGTTGGCTGCAATAGTTGGCTAGGACGGGCACTACATCCAATATGATGTGCGAGCGAGGAGTATAGATACCTCACTCACGAGTGGTAAATCTTAACGAAGAAACAAAAGACACGTAGCGAAAAGCCTGGCAGAGTTTTGGACTTCCGAGTTTCTGAAGGAACTGTGTGACTGGGATACTGAGATGAAGAGATGAGGATGTGCGGAATATACGCAATGGTGGTATAAAAGTGAAGGTCGTGGAAACACGCTTCGAGAAACCCACAGGGGCTAGCTGGCCCTTCCCCTTCCCCCATTCTTATTCCTGTAGGCGGGTCCTCCACGTCTTGGACTAGAATCATGCTTAACATCTCCACGTCTTACAATCACCGTTTTTGGTCTGACAAGTACATGTTAGACTGGGTATATGTTGCGACGGGAACGCTGTTGATCTAGAGAAAAAGTTTCCCGAGAGCGAGAGCGTGCTTGATCTTTATACGCGTGGAAGAGTGCACTATCCCCTAACCGGCTGGTGGGCAACGCTCGGACTAGGCTACGTTGAACGTGTGTTAGACACCGTATTGAGCTATACACAGCATGCGAAAGCCGCCGCAGTTCTCATCCCTAATGGCTTTCATTGGCCGCATTCTTATCGATACCGTAGCGTCATACTCAGCGGGTCAAGGAATAGATATGTGTGATGTGAATTAGAAGGAGGGGGAGGGGGAGGCACACTCTTGCTCTTACTCTGAAAGCTGCCACGAAGGCTGAAGGAGTAGGTAGTACCTCTGCTTGTGGAGGGTATACGTATAGGTTCTTGACTACGTCTTAACCCGGCAATGTGCTGTAGACGGGAGGGCTTCTTGTTAGTCTAAGTGACAGATTTAGACAAAACCGTTTGCGGTAATGCGTGCCCACACGTCCAGTGCTTACGCGATTGGCAAATATTAGACCGGATGTGTGTTAGAATTCAACTTAACTCGACGCATGTACATGGGAATAGCGTAGGACCACTACTGTTGGAAGACTCCAGGATCGAGCTGGGCTCGCACCGCGGCGTTTGGATTTTTAGGGTTTTTGAACTAGGAGCGTAAGGATGGCGATCCTTTACTACTCGCTTGCGTGCCCGTGTTTGAGGCGCTTTATCTTAATTCTAGAGTTGTGGAGGAATGGAGAATCCTGATCCTTTGGCGGGATGTGAGGTCTGACGCTGGCTGGACCCCGCCTTTATCGCCCAAATTGGCGAAAAAAACCTCGAAGCAACCACATAGTACACTGAGCAAACGAAGAGGGTGTTAGCCCAACGCCTCAACACTGCGTTGTCGTGGCCCAAACATCAGGCGCGACGACGCAGCGTCTAGATACGGACAGGTGTCGATACGAATGGGTGCTAATCAAGGTAAGAAAGCGCGTGGATGCAAGTCCAGCATTCCAAGCCATTGCTTTTGGTGTATAGTGAGCTACTGGACTATTACTTGAATAGGAAGTTCTTGAGATCCGTGGAGGACGGAGCTGAGAATAGCATTGACTCTATTGGTTGGAATCGTCACCCTAGCTTGATTGGCATGATTTTGGGAAAAGATCAACGTTGTTGAATTTTTATTGGGATAGACAATATGAAGACACGTCCTTTAAGTTGTGATGAATTTGGGACATTCACTGATTCGAGAATTGGAAGCTGCTTGACTTTAGATGGGCGGAGATTGACGATAAGAAAAGACTCTACTGAAGTAGAAATGTCATGAGCGATAAACGGTAATTCGGTCTATTTGCGGGACTGTGAGAGGAAGTCGTTTGAGATTGGTGATGAATTTGAAGTAATGTTCGAAGTTTGATAGAAGTTCCACAATCAAGGTACTATATTTTCCAAAACTTTTGTGTAAGCGGACCGGTTCATTTAACAACCGCCTTGAATCATGAATTCTAGCGCCGGAAAACGCCCCTAAGCACTTTCCCCCTATTCGATAATGGCCGTAAGCGCACTACGGTTGTTGTAGCACTATCGTCGTAATCATACATTACTATCCAAGAACGAAGAGATCGTCTCCCAAATAACTCTCACCTTCCCATGGTCTTCTCGAAGTAGGTGTCGATTACTATAAACGGATTCCTGGTTTCAGGTATGCTTTTAGGTCTGTGACTGGCGTGACATGGTGCAGGCGCGGGGAAGTGTATCGACTTATCCGCTGCAGGAACGAGCACAGCGGGAAATAGTCTCTTCTCGGCCAAGAGGATGCGGGTACCTGAGCCTGGACAGCAGAAAACGTGGTCTTGCGGCGATTTGCCCTCGGGCCGTTCTCGTGGCGCGCGACGTGACTTTAGTTGGGCCTGACCAGATTTGGAGGCGGACAGAGGCTGGTGCAAAGAGATCGGGCCGACGTGAGGAAGATCTAGAAGCGATCATCTCGGGTACATGGTGGTTGTATTTGCGGTTTGATTGTCTTTCTGTTTATTCTTCGAACCAAAAAACTTTCTTAAGAGTAAGGTTGATAGAGTTGAGATATAAGCGAGCGGAAATAGTTTCCCGTTCGATAAAATCGAAGAAGAATCCTTTTCTGAAGATATGAAACTAGACGGAAGAAAAGCCTAGCGCGAGTCAGCATAGAGCTAAACGCAGATAACATCTGGCTGGACCACGGTTGAGGTTGTTGCATTCCTCGATGGAGACAGCAGAGCTCAACGGGCGGAGGCGGCGTGCAGCCAAGCACAGCCGGCGATAGAGCTAACCCCCGATCACGCAGGACACCTCGCTACTCCATGTTTCCAGTGCGTGTCGCGGATTCTGGGACCCCGTTTCGTCGCCCCGCAGCAGCACGCAAGGAGGGCCCTGCTGGGCGCGCCGGACATTGAGGCTCACAATTTGGGAGCGCCAGCTGCTGCACACGCTGCGGGTGCGGCGATCGGGCAGAAAGGGGAGCCCGCGGCTGGAATGGGCATCGCGGCTCAGGCGACGTCTGGTGCGCGAGTCGGGGAGATGAAGACGGTCGGCGTCGTGGTTGCGCGGAGGGGACCACCAAGCAGAGTTTGATCGCGGGCACTGCAGCCTCGCTAGCCCGCAACAGATGCGATGCGGCATGCCGGGGGCGCGCTCGGAGCAGTGCGTGCAGCGGAGAGCCGGCGAAAGGGCCTGGTTGGCTCAGCGGTGGCGTGCAGCTCGACGAGGCGAACGGCGGGCGCATCTGAAACTGCAGCGAGCACACCGCAGCCAACCCCAGCCCAGCCAGCGAAGAAGGTGGCAGCAGCGCCGCCTTTGTCCACCGCTGAGGCTGCCCGTTGCGATGCCAGTGCAACAGCCGCCAGACGTTTCGCAGCGAGTCTCAGCGGCGGCCACAGCGAGCACCAGCAGGCTCAGTCGCTCCAGTCGCTCCAGGGCCCCTTTTCTAGACTGCTTCTAGAAACCTCGTGCTAGTCAGTCCGCACCGCTACCCATCCGAGCGCGGGCCGGCTGTGACACGGCGGACAGGGACGCCGGTGGTCGAGCAGAGCAGGTGGAACAGCGGTGCTGCGACGCCCCAGGAGGCCTGCCGTGCGCCGTGGTGCCGTGAGAGTCTGCCTGCGCATTGCGCGGAGGAGCGGCCAGGAAGTGCTGGAGTGGCCGCCGATGTCGGTTTGGAGCAGCCCGTCGAGGCCTGACAGTTGCAGCCGCATCGTGCGCTGAGATTGCGTGGTGACGAGAGGTCTGTGTTGTGGTTCGTGTACGGGGCCGGCAGTCGCTCTCCTGGCGCCCGCCAATCAGCAAGCGAGCAGGCCACCCCTTGCACATCGGCCCCGGGCGTCTCCTTTCGCTCGCTCACACCAAAGCCAGCCAGGCCAACTCTCTTCTTCAGACCTCGACACCCTCACCAGGCCACTCTCTCGACTCCCATCCGCACAGCCAGCCCGCTGCTGTGCCACCGCTCTCAATTCCTCAACAAGGACCCGCGCCGTCTGCCTGTGCCCTCTCCAGTCCATTGGCAGCCGCCTCTCCGCTGTTTGGCCCGTAGCGAGAGTGCCGTCTCCGCCAGCCAGCTCCCTTCACCACCGACGTCTGCGCCTGTCTCCCGCAGTCGCTCCCTTTGCCCTGCATCTACGGCTTGTAATTATAGGTACGTCCAGCCTCAATCGCCCGCCTTGCCTGCCCTGCCCTCGACATCTACGCAAGCCAAGCGGCGAGCAAACTCCTCCGCCGCTGTCTGCCGCACGCCGACCCCCGCTGCGAGCACACACCGCTCCTGCTTGCTGCACTCTTCGCCGCTGCATACTGACGTGTTTCTACGCAGGATTCTGTACCGGCAGGCCTACGGAACCACATCTACACCCCTAATCGCCCACCGGACATAACTACCACCCGTCACAATGGGTTGCGGAATGAGCACAGAGGAGAAGGAGGGGAAGCAGAGGAATGAGGAGATCGAGAACCAGCTCAAGCGGGACAAGATGATGCAGCGAAACGAGATCAAGATGCTGCTGCTCGGTGCGTGCTGGCGGCCCGCCTGTCAGGTCATGCAATATGCAGCAAACTGACAATCACCAGGTGCCGGAGAGTCTGGAAAGTCGACGATCCTGAAGCAGATGAAGCTCATCCACGAGGGTGGCTACTCGCGCGATGAGCGAGAGTCGTTCAAGGAAATCATCTTCAGCAACACCGTGCAGTCGATGCGCGTCATCCTCGAGGCCATGGAGTCGCTGGAACTGCCCCTTGACGACCAGCGCGCCGAGTACCACGTGCAGACCATCTTCATGCAGCCAGCCCAGATCGAGGGTGACAGCCTACCCCCAGAAGTTGGCAACGCCATTGCCGTGCTCTGGAAGGATGCCGGTGTCCAGCAGTGCTTCCAGCGCTCCCGCGAATACCAGCTCAACGACTCTGCCAAATAGTACGTTACTCGCCATTATTCTTTCCGTGATTATAACGCTGACCTGATCGCAGCTACTTCGATTCCATTGACCGCATTGCCGCTCCGGACTACATCCCCAACGACCAGGATGTCCTCCGCTCGCGTGTCAAAACCACTGGTATCACTGAGACCACCTTCATCATCGGCGACCTGACCTACCGCATGTTCGATGTCGGAGGACAACGGTCGGAGCGAAAGAAGTGGATCCACTGTTTCGAGAACGTGACCACCATCCTCTTCCTCGTCGCCATCTCCGAATATGACCAGCTGCTCTTCGAGGATGAGACCGTCAACCGTATGCAGGAAGCTCTCACCCTGTTCGACTCCATCTGCAACTCGCGGTGGTTTGTCAAGACATCGATCATCCTGTTCTTGAACAAGATCGACAGGTTCAAGGAGAAGCTCCCCGTCAGCCCCATGAAGAACTACTTCCCTGACTACGAAGGTTCGTAACTTTCTCCCTTGGTTGAATATGCTGTATCTAACCTGATACTAGGTGGCCCTGACTACGCCGCGGCTTGCGACTACATCCTCAATCGCTTCGTATCGCTCAACCAACATGAGACCAAGCAAATCTACACCCATTTCACATGCGCCACCGACACAATGCAAATCCGATTCGTCATGGCCGCAGTGAACGGTAAGCCAATCCCAATCTGAAACACAACTCACCCATGTACTAATATATCCCAGACATCATAATTCAAGAGAACCTCCGCATGTGCGGTCTGATATAATGACCAGAAGAAAAGGAGACAAGGGGGCGTGCATTGATACCAAGCCCCCTGCCTCACGGCGAGCGAGCGATTGAAAGCGAGGAAGAGATTTGTCTTGTTATGGAATCACGGGCGGCATGTCATTCGGACGACGGCTTCTAATCGCCATGTCATATACGGCGTTGTGAAAACTTTGTTTTTTTTTCTCCCTGGTTGTCTGTTTGCTTTCCTCTTTTCTCTCTCCGTCGTCGGTGCCCTGTTGCTTTTTTGCCTTGCTTTTGCCTTTTGCCACCATGCGAGGAAGCTTAAATCTCCCTTCGCTTCCGCATTTTCTCGATTTCTGTGATACCCTGCGAGGGCTGGGGATCTTTTCTTCTCTTTCTCTTTCTTTCGGAATCACAAGAGAGGAGATGAACAAATTTGTTTTGTGGCGTGGGCGCGACACACCCCGGATGGAAAGGAAAGCAAGGAGAGAAATATGTTTAACTTTTTTGGTTTTCTTGGAAGTGAAGACCGATTTTGCTGACTTAGCTCTCTCTTTCTCTTACCCCTCTTTTTATCAAAGTAACGGCTCCTCGGGTTTTTAGCAATATGGAAGGGGTGGGGGGCGGGAGGAACTCTTTTTCCTAATTCATCGCGGTTGGCTGTGGTGGGGGGAGGGGGGTGTGGCTGAGCGGTCTTCGATTCTCTTATACTTTGAGGGGGGAGTGGGATGGGGGGACGGGGTGGTGGTGGTGCGTGTGTGTGTGTGTAGTAAAGGATGTTCTGCTCTAATTTGTGCGAGTGCGCTGAGGTGTGATGTGTGAGGCTTCTAACACCCGATTTCACGACCAGCTTGCTGCCTACCTACGGCTTATGAACGTACGACGAAATCGGACACCGCACCTCCCCGTGGTGTCGTCTGGAAACGGTTCACTCTTTTCCAGAAGAGGAGGAAGAACCAACGCAGAGACGGCTTCAGGCCTGCCATCTCCATGGCTTGAGGTTGCGGCGACTCAAATCAACTTGCTGCCTACCCTTCGTCGACGTAAAGGACGTCGAGTTCGTCGCCGCGGCTCTGGAAGAGGACTCACACCACTAGTGTTGATCTATTGGTATATGCAACGGACCCGTGGGGTCTGGGCTATTGCAGGAGGGGTTTTTTTTTTTTTTTTTTCCTACGATATTCACGGCGCATCGCATCCCCTGGTGTCTGAGACGATGGTTCGACGGGTTCACTTTAAGGGCATCGTAATGGGGAGTGGCTATACGGGTGCATGTATAATAGTCCTGGGCCGGCCTTGGCTGGTTGTATATTGGCTATGGAGATAGATAGCGGCGAGCATTGGAGAGGGCGGCGGCCCCCCCCCCCTCCTTACCTTCTCTTACCTCCACTTTCAAAGAAAATTAAATGTTAGATACATGCCTGGCGAAACGCGGATCAACAACCGTGGTTTTTTCTTTTTGAGACGGCGGCGAAGCAACGATACAGGGCTAGGACTACAAAAACAGCCACCAACGTCCCTCGCGGGAGACACGCCATCACGATACGACTGCGGAACGCATGATGACATCCCCATCCGCATTCCCCGAACGCCTCACCCGGCACGAAGGGTCGGTCCCGTCATTACTTGCTTACGAGCGAAGCGTCATTGTGCAGGGGAGGGTTATGTGGATTTTTATATGCAATGCATGAAAGACGACGTTTAAGCGCTGTCAGGATTCTATTCTGTGCAGGGGGCTGGGGAGGAGGCGGGGGGGCAGAGGTGAAACTCATTGTGCGGTGCGTTCTCGGCTGTAGCGTAGTTAGACGCTTCTGATACATAGAATATTGAAAGCGACTCGCAGATGGCATGAGAGCGTGAGACCCTAGATGAAGTTTGATACAACTATGTATTTTGCCCATCAAACCGGATTCGCCCGTCTGATAGAGAGAATTCTAGCACTCTCTTCTCTTCTTCTTCTTCTTCTTCTTCTTCTTCTTCTTCTTCTTCTTTTCTCAGGCCGGGGAGACGGCGTGAGAGCCCCTTGAGTAGCGAGATGCTAGAAGAGGCACTCCGCCCGCCTTCAGCCAAGAGGCCCTGTTCATGCACCTGCGTAGGCTGCAACGCTGACGCCCACCCAACTGACGAGGGCCAAGGAGAGGCGCTGAGTGGCTCGAGAGTCCGCGGCCGACTGGAGACCTACGGCGGAATAAGCGTGAGTCTCACCGTACATGCGTGCCGTATGCTAGCTTCAAGCGGCCCACGAAGGGAGTGACGTACTGACGTCGTTGTGGGGAGTGGGGCGGGCCGTATGCAGCGTGCAGCACAGTCCTAGAACCTGATCGCTGGTTTGGGCGCCAGAGATGAATGATGGAATTGGGAATTCACGATGAGGGAGGCACTTTTGAGAGGTAGAGCGGCTCTGGGTGAGGGGTAGCTTTTTCGAGGCTCCCTCGGCCGCTTGCTGGTAGCCTCGTGCCGATCAAGGGACTGGGCCATCTAGGAGGCAAGAGACTCATCGAAATCGATGGAGGATCGCCATCGGAAAGGGTCGATGGGATTCTGGCCACTGCGGTCGATTGAGTGCCGTGCTCCCCAGACCCTTTCCCTCCGTCCAAGGCACAGAGGCTCGGAATGAGGTGGCTGGGCTGGGTGCTGGGTTACGATCCCACGGCACGAAGCAATACCCGCGGGTACTCGAGATAGGTTGAGGAAGTTGGTTGAGCGGATTGGATTGAACACTGCTGCGCCTCTTCCCGCGGAAAGTCACCGATCAGGGGATAATGGGTGCCATCCTCCTTCTTCCCTACTCGTGTAGCACGTACGTACCCCTCTGTTAGTGGGGCAATACTCAAGCAGGTTAAGAAAAGCTGAGCCATTGTGCCGCCGTTGACGTCGAAGAGCGTTGGTACCCTGTACTTTTCGTAGTGTGAACCAATAGGAGGGGGAAGTACGAGCACCGGGTGCGAAAGAACCCAGGCGCTGCGTGGGACTAGGCTGTCAACACAGAGGGCCAGAGTTCACGATAAGGGATTTTGCGGTCTACGGCTGGTGTGAGGGGCTTGGGGGATGGTATGGTATGGTGTCATAAAGGCGGAGTGGGAAGGGCGTTGGGGTATAAAAAGTGGGCGCCCGTGTAGTGAGGTAATTGAATACCGGTCTATCGTGTCAATTCCTCCTCGCTTTTCGAATACCCTGATACCTGAGCCCTTTGACGCTGCTACCACACACATCAAGACGAATCATGTCACTATCAGCTACCGCAGAGACTGTCAAGTGGAGGGAGAGCCTCAAGGTACCGAAGCCCTCTATGCGACCAACCATGGGACGACATGATTCTCTGGCTATGAACACCAAGCGGAAGATCATCTGCTTCTCAGGTACGCGAATGCAACTTGCCGATCCCATCCCTACCGCCCTGTTTGCTGCGAATCAGTGCTAACAAACCCTTCCAGACTTCGACGGCACCATTTTCATGCAAGACACCGGTCACATTCTCTTCAATACCTTCGGCTGTGGCAATGACCGCCGCGAGATCCTCGACCAACAGATCCACAGCGGAGAGCGCTCCTTCAAGGACGTGTCGGAGGAGATGTGGGGCTCGCTTGACGTCCCCTTCGACGATGGCTTCGAAGTGATGAAGGGCGCGCTCGAGATCGACCCGGACTTCCAAACCTTCCACCAGTTCTGCCTCGACAACAGCATCCCCTTCAACGTCATCTCCGCCGGCCTGAAGCCCGTCCTCCGCCGCGTGCTCGACCACTTTCTAGGCGAGGAAGCGTCCTCCAACATCGAAATCGTCGCCAACGACGCCACCATCTCGTCTGACGGCAGCCAGTGGAAGCCCGTCTGGCTCCACGACACGGAGCTTGGCCACGACAAGGCGCAGTCCATCAACGACTACCGGGCCGGCGCCAAGCTCGAGAGCGATGACGGCACCATCCCCATGATTGTCTTCATCGGCGACGGCGTGTCGGACCTCCCCGCCGCGCGCGAGGCGGACGTGCTCTTCGCTCGCCGTGGGCTCAGGCTCGAGGAGTACTGCATCGAGAACAAGCTGGCGTACATCCCGTTCGACACGTTCGCGGACATCCAGGTTGAGGTCACCAAGATCGCGAAGGTGGACGATGAGAAGACGCATGGCAAGGGCCTACCGTCGAACTTCAACCCGCGGGCGAATATGTGGAGGCGCATGTCGAGCAAGACGAATGTGCCGATGATTGCGGCGATGACACCACGAGAGGAGAGGATGAGCTTGTGGCCGGATATGTTTACGGAGCTGACGACTATGAAGGAAAATACCTTGGTGGCTCCAGCTGCTTGAGTGAGGACTCTCTCAGTCTCAATTCTTCTGTCAGCATTAGACCGTGATTTCGATTCTTAGAACATGTGCTTTTGATTTTTCTTTCTTTTTATCAAGATTAGGCGTTTGGGCAGCGGCATGGACTGGCGTTGAATTATGAAGTTTGGCTGGTTCTCTCAACCATGGTTTACAAAGGTATGGTGGGGGCTCTCATGGTGGGGGCGTACCATTCTTCGAGGTACCGAATATCAGATATCGAATAGCATCTAAAGGCATCTAGACGTTCTGATCACCCGTTTCCCTTGCGTCTGAAAGCATCCATACTTTATCTATACCTTGCTCGTGCAGCTCCCAGCGCCGAGGCACGCCCGTTTGTGTTGCCTCTTGCGGATTAGAGGTACATTCACACATGAACGGGTGCGGCATTTGGGGGTTGGTCAGGCCGGCTCGTCACATTCTTCGTGAGTGAATGTCGCCCCAGCCAGCTCGAAGACGTGATTTGTACCGCGTATGTTGTCCGAGGGCTGGATCACCGCTGACTGAAGTCTCCTCGCTGTGGCTTGGCGGCAACCCTGCGAGCGATCAGTGCTTCAGGGCTGCGAAGGGGAGGTGGCACTCTATCGTTTCAGGTCTTGGGCCAGATATCAGCGATCCAGGCTGCGGGCGCGGCTGCATCAGCTTCTTGCTATTATTAAACCCGCAACTGGCCACATACCTGCGCATTTCCTGCTTCCGTGCCTCCCGCAAACAAAGGCCCTACAAGAATTGAAAACCCCCAATCACTGAATGCTCTGTCCTCAGCCCAAAGCCACCCGTGTTGAAAGCAGCCCCAATCCGTGTCAGTGTGCTCCGCAGCCCAAGCTCCTGCGCAATTAGCCCCCTCGTGTATGGTACTTATACCTGTCGAGGCTGCGCCAAACAATCATCAGCTCCGCTGCACTGCCGAATGCCTGGCTGCGTACATATCTCACTGTTCTTTCACTGCGCTCCCCGCTGCGGATCCAGCCCCCGCCTCCCCCGAACTTAACACCTATACTTAATTCCGAGCTCTCCTAGCCAGCCGCTACCGGGGCTAATTGAATGACTTGCGAGCTTGTTCTGCGGCCTGCCGTTCCCTGAAGTTGGAGCTCTGAACCCAGTGCCCGCCGCCTGCGATTGACTCGAGATCTAAGTGGACAGTAGCCAACCTTGGAAGCTTCCCATTGCCAAGTTGTGCAGCTCGCTTCAGTGCTTGGGTCCCGCAGCTAGATAAACCGCGATGCCGCGACCACCACTTTCCACCAGACTCAGTCTGCCCCACCGCCTGAAGCACCCCAACGGCACCACTTCCAACCCCCCCAGTCTCCCCGGCAGCCGCAGCAGCAGTCCCAAGCGCGCCATGACGGATCCCAAGAGCAACGGCCTCGTGCTGCGGGCGAACGTCATCAAGGTGGGTGTTCCCAAGGTTCACGCAGCCCTGCAACCGCAGGAAGTACCCCGCGAAGCGTGCATTGCGAGCTGACGAACTTCGTCACAGGGCCGGAACCTAGCAGCGAAGGATAGGAGCGGGACGAGTGACCCTGTATGTTCACTTTCTATAATCTACTCGGAAGCGGCGGAGAGAGGACGGAACAAGGCTACGTCATGCATCGTGGCCTGGGGCTGACAGACAGCGATAGTATCTCGTCCTCACCGTCGGCGACGCGAAGCAAGCGACCCCCTCGATCAGCAAGACGCTCAATCCGGAATGGAACCAGACCCTCGACCTGCCCGTCACCGGTGTGCAGAGCCTCCTCCTCGAGGCGTGCTGCTGGGACAAGGACCGCTTTGGCAAGGACTACATGGGCGAGTTCGATGTGGCATTGGAGGATATATTCACGAATGGACAATCCAGTCAGGAGGTGGGTTTGGACTCTGGCTTTCGAGATGCTGTTTGAGAGTGGGAAAGCGGTCACTGACTGTGTGCAGCCGAAGTGGTATCCGCTAGAGTCGAGACGCACCGGCAAGAAGAAGAGCGTGGTTACGGGCGAGGTGCTGCTGCAGTTCTCGCTCGTAGACACGAGCAATGCTTCTGCTACGCCCCAGCAGATTCTGGCGAAGTTTATGGCTATTGCGGGGACGAGCCCAAGCCTGGATGAGGACGAAGATGATCTGTTGCGTACGGATAGTGGGGATTTAGAAGAGCAAGATGATGATGACCAAGAAGATGCTTCCGACGAGCCGCAGGACGAGGTGAAGAAGGCGGAGAAGAGGCGCAAGAAGCTACGGCTTGCGAGGCTGAAGAGAAAGGCGAAGCAGAGGGGTTACGAGTTCACTGGTAACTCGGAGGTTGCCGGCGTGCTCTTCCTCGAGATCACAAAGATTACGGACTTGCCTCCTGAGCGGAATAGTAAGTATCAATTACCTGTTGACTTCCCGACATTTTCCTGATTCTTGACGGCAGTGACGCGGACCTCGTTCGATATGGACCCGTTTGTGGTTACATCGTTGGGCAAGAAGACATACCGCACGAAAGTCATAAACCACAACCTTAACCCGGTGTATGAGGAGAAGCTGGTGTTCCAGGTCATGAAGCACGAGACGAACTACTCTCTCAACTTTACTGTTGTAGATCGGGACAAGTTTTCTGGGAACGACTATATTGGCGCGGTCAACTTCCCGCTTGACAAGGTCACTGCGGTTTCCCCTGAGGCTGATCCGGCTACTGGCTTGTACAAACTGCCTGAACCGCATGATCTCGAATCGCCTAATCTCCCTGAAGCTAGGAGGTCCCGCTTCCGTCTTCCCATATCTCGATCGTCGTCTTCCAACAGCCTGACGAAAGCTGCGAAGCCGGGATTGAGGAAGGAGAACTCTTCAAACTCTCTGTCGCTCAATCTTAAAGACCAGAGCACAACACTGTTACCTCCTCCGCCAACCAGTGCCCCTTCTACTCCTGGTCTCGACGCGAACGGCAAAGGTATCCTAGGTACAAACTCAATCAATGTCGATCCACACGTGGTAGACGATCAGGATCTCAAGTCCTGGGACATGCCTTTGGAGATGAAGAATAAAGACAGATGGGAAGCCAAGCACAACCCCACCATCTATATCCGAGCCAAATACTTGCCTTACAAGGCTCTCCGACAGCAATTCTGGCGAGCCATGCTCAAGCAGTATGATGCCGATGACAGTGGATGGATCGACAAGGTCGAATTGACGACTATGCTCGACACGCTGGGCTCCACCCTGCATGAGTCAACCATCGACGGGTTCTTTGACAGATTCGCCAAGGACAACAACGACAACAAGGAGGGGCTTCTGACTTTTGACCAGGCTGTCATCTGTCTTGAAGACCAGTTGCAGAATACGAAGCAGCGCACGTGGGGTTCGGCTATAAAGGGCCAGTTCAACAACCTCACTACCAGCAGTGTTACCCAGAGCAGCACCGACCAGAGCGACACTCCTAGCCTCACTCCAGGTTCTGTTACTCCTTCTGCGACTTCCGGTAGCGCGACACCCCTCAACTTCCATAGTCAGAGCACTGCAATTCCAGCAGTCGCTCAAGAGAAGCTCGGAGCTGCCGGCGAAGAGGGCGACACACTCGACGCCCACGACGACTTGGCCGATGACAACGGCGAGGAGCACGTTATTGAGATCCGGGAGTGCCCCATCTGTCACCAACCTCGCCTTAACAAGAAGTCGGATGCTGATATCATTACCCACGTCGCGACCTGTGCTAGCCAAGATTGGCGACAAGTGAACAACATTGTCATGGCCGGATTCGTCACTTCTAGCCAGGCCCAGCGGAAGTGGTACACCAAGGTCGTCCACAAAATCTCGTATGGCGGCTACAAGCTTGGTGCGAATTCTGCGAACATCTTGGTCCAGGATCGTATGACTGGGCAAATCAATGAGGAGCGTATGAGTATTTATGTGAGGTTGGGGATTCGGCTGCTCTACAAGGGGCTGAAGGCGAACAATATGGAAAAGAAGCGAAGTAAGTGGCATTGATATTTCACTATCGTTCACGTTTTGCTATACTAGTATCTTGACTGACACACTCGCAGTTCGCAAGCTCCTCCGATCTCTCAGCTTCAAACAAGGCGCCAAGTACGACGACCCGGCCTCCGCTGCAGAAATCGAAGGCTTCATCAACTTCCATCAACTAGACATGTCGGAAGTTTTGCTCCCTGCTAAGAGTTTCAAGAACTTTAACGAGTTCTTCTACCGCGCTCTCAAGCCTGACGCTCGTCCGTGCTCAGCACCTGACGACCCAAGAGTCATCACATCCCCCGCAGATTGCCGCTCCGTCGTCTTCAACCGCATGGACGAGGCCCAAACTATTTGGGTTAAGGGCCGCGAGTTTAGCGTTGAGCGGCTGCTTGGTAACGCTTACCCTGAAGACGCAAAGCGGTACCAAGGCGGCTCCCTCGGGATTTTCCGTCTCGCGCCTCAGGATTACCATCGCTTCCATATCCCGGTCGATGGTGTGATGGGAGAGCCAAAGCTCATCGAAGGCGAGTACTACACTGTCAACCCCATGGCTATCCGCTCCGCGCTGGATGTGTACGGTGAGAATGTCAGAGTCATTGTGCCAATCGACTCGGAGGCGCATGGGAGGGTTACTGTCATTTGTGTGGGTGCGATGATGGTGGGTAGTACTGTGATTACCCGGAAAACTGGTGACAAGGTTAAGAGGGCTGAGGAGCTGGGCTATTTCAAGTTTGGTGGGAGTACTCTCCTACTTCTCTTCGAGCCAGGCGTCATGAAGTTCGATGACGACTTGGTGGATAACTCGAGATCTGCTTTGGAGACTTTGGTAAGCCATGATCATAACCTCTCAGCTCTCTATCGACAGAATAAAGCTAATGATGGCGTTTTCTAGGTCCGCGTCGGCATGTCCATTGGCCATAGCCCCGAACGCGCCGCCTACTCCCAAGACCAGCGGAAAGAGAATCCGACTCTAGAAGAGAAGCAGGACGCCAAGCGCCGTATCGAAGGCAGCATGGCGCCGCCTGGTGAGCAAGGCCCGATGCCTGGTGCTGGTCTAACATAGACTACCAACGAACACACTTATATGGGTATGGCATCAGGGGTTCTGGGCTGGGAGGGTATGGCGGTGTGTGATTACTGAATAAAAAGTATTGGTTAGGTTTTCTACGATTCGATGAGATGATTTTGGTAGCGAACATGATGGAAAGGACCCTTGCAAGTGTTGCTGTGGGTGTGATTTGGGGGGGAGTGCTGTTGCTGTCTGGGATGGAGGGGGTGATTTTTTCTTGATGAGGGATGCGTTTGTATTACGTACACGAATGATACGTTTTGCTCCCGGTGTAGCATTCGTCCTGGTTGAGGACTTCCTTGTTTAAAATATGTACACAGACTTAGGATTTTGGTGCTGCAGTTTATCAGATGTAAGGTCACGTGATTATAAGCATCTCAGGTTGGCACGACGCAATCTTAGGACTGGCTGGAGACAACGTCGATTAAAAATGTGTTCTATGCAGTAGAAAGCGATGAATCTCTTTAAACAAGCACGGGCTTGTTTATACGCGCGAGACAAGCAACAAGTAAAGGAGCAATTACTTGCTAACTGCTTATGTTCTTTTCCTTTGTATGAGGATCGTATATAGAGCGTTACGAACTGTATGATCTCCCTCTTCCTCATCCTCATCCGCAGGCTCTTCCTCTCGCAGCGCTCGTTGCTTGTCTCGTCGTCTCGAGCGCTGTTCCATCAATTTCCGTTCGCACCCTCCCTCCCTGTATCCCCTTCTTTTTATATTTTAGTATAGTTCTGCAGTAGTTGCAGTAGTTCCACGGCCGGTCTCTTGGTTCTCACAAGACAGGCATAATTGTTAAGGCGTCGGCCTGTTCTGCCTTCACATGACTCTCCAAGAGAACGAGCTGGTGCCCACTAATAGCAAATCTTTTCGTTATCCTCTTCTCCTGCAGTGTCGAAGTGCATAGAACTACATTTCTCCTTTCAGTCTGAGTTCCTCGTCTAGTACAGGATCAAAGAGTCTTTTGCTTGTGAATCGATGAAAGAAGGCTGCTCGCATTCACGTGCGAGGTTTAGTTATGACAGCATAGTTAATCCCTCTAACTAATTGCTTTCTACATAAAGTTGACGCCCTGCTCTTCCTGAAATCATCTCCCCACTTACCCCCTCACATTGGTACCACCTACCCTTCCATAAATACTACTGGCCTCACTTCGGGGCTCTTATCGCCAGGGCGTCACCAAAAAGCCGAGTGACGAACGGATACCAGCAGCGCGCCAAGGCGCTAATCCAATGTTTTGATTCTCGCCCGCGCCCCAAACCACCGACACCACCACGGAGGCAAGCCAGACCCAGCAACCACACCCACCCCTCAACCCCAAACGCCCCAACCTGCCGCGCGCGCAGCAGGCACCACGAAAATATTCGCATTACCAGAACTCCCAATCTTTACGAGACAGCAAACCCCCGAACACCCCAAAAACTCTGACCCCCATCGCAAAACTCACCGAAACCCCCGGACTTGGCGACGGACGGACGACGTGACGGACCTCCACCGACGCGACTGGGAGGCCCAATGCATGCACTACTGTCGCGCTCGCCTCTCCAGACTCTGAGCATGGCGTCGACGCAGCGGCCGACGCGCCGGCGGAGCGCGAGGCACGCTTTCGAGGACGAGAGCGATGCGCCTGCTATCAAGCGGACGCGGACGGAGGCGAACGGGAACGGGAGGGCCGGCGGCAGCAAGGCGGCGCCGAAGAAGACGACGACGACGACGACGTATGAGGAGGCGGACGACAGTTTCGTGTTCTCGCGCGGCGCGAAGTCGAAGAGGGCGGCGGGGAAGGCGAGGGCGAAGGTAGAGGAGCCGGTTCCTGCGTCGACGACCGCGGAAGCAGAGCCGGTGGGCGAGAAGGCGGTGCCGCTGAGGAGGAGGAAGAATGAGCCCGCGGCGGTGGCGGCGCGTGAGGAGCACAGAGAGGAGCAGGCGGTTAAGAGACGGAGGTCGGCGAGGCTGTCGGGGGATAAGGAGGATGTTGGACAGCCGCAGCCGCAGCCGCAGCCGCAACTGCAACACCAGCCTGAGCCGGTACGGGCGCCGAAACGCGTGAAGAAAGCTGCGGTGCCGGCGGAGAGGAAGAAGACGCCGGGTGGGGATGAGGACCGCATGGAGCTTGTTGGGAGACGGACGCCGGTGGCCAATGACTTGCATGTCGAGAAAAGACGCGATGGGGGCGTGACGAAGATTGCGTTGCCATTTGCGGATACCCCGATTATTCGACGGAATAAGGAGATGCGGAAGGAGAGTGGCTCAGGGCATCGGAGAAGCAGTACGGGCTTGCGTGGGCGGAGGGCGAGCTCGCTCATTGAGAGTGGGCAATCGAATGGTGGGTCTACTCCTAATACTGTGAAGGGCGGAGAGGTCAGCGTTCAATGTTCTACCGGAGAACAAACGCATGAGGCTCCCTGTCCCAAACGGATTCTCATAGGAGCTATGTGGGCTAACTGGGATTCTACAGCTGTACCACACGCGCAAGTCGATCCACGGGACTTCTACAAGCACATCGAACAGAGTCTCCCCGAGCCCAGGCGGATGAAGCAGCTGTTGACTTGGTGCGGGGCAAGAGCATTACCGGAGAAGCCGTCGGGCGATGTCAAGGATACGAATGCTATCATGGCTGGTAGGTGGTGATCCGACATTTATGGTGGAAGTGGTCACTAATTGAGGGTATAGCACGTGCAATTCAACAGGAGCTCCTCGATGACTTTGCGAATAAGCCGGAGCTGTCAAATTGGTTCAGCAGGGTTCGTACAAGTCTAAATATCCTACTTGTGACGCCAGAAGACTAACCTCCAAACAGGAAGACACAACACCCGTATCAATCGTTAAGAAACCCAATCCAACGAACATCAAAATGGCAGCAGTACTAGAGGAATTAGAAGAGGAGCTGAAAAGGTACGTTTCCAAGCCTTCGCCACATCCGTACTTGAATTCTATCTAACACCCCCCAGACTCGAAGAGGAAAAAGCCGCCTGGGACGCCCTCACAACTGCGTCCCTCTTACAACTTTCTACCTCCTCCCCCGCCATGCCACCACCCCCCCTCCCCTCCAAATCCCCCCGAAGGCCAAAACTCCAACCACCACAACCCCCCGCAGCGCCCCAAATCGACTCCTCCCTCCTCGACCCCTCTCAAGCCGCAATCCTCGCCGCGCTACACCCCAGCTCCTCATCCAATACCTCTACATCTCCAAATACGAACCCCACCCAGACACCAACACCACCAACCTCCGACTTCACCTTCACCACCTCCACCGCTCTCCAAACCCGCCTCGCCCACATCTCGCGCTCCCTCGAGCCGACAATCGACACCTTCGCCGACGGCGTGCACAAGATCGAGCAGTACCGCCTCGCGGCCGAGCACGTCGCGGACCGCGTGCTGGGCGGCGCGGCGAAAGCGCTTGAGGAGCGCGATAGGGAAGCGAAGGAGCGCGCGGGGACGAGCGGCGTGGGGGTGCTGGATGTGTTGAGTGCGTTAGGGGCGGTTTTGGGGGGAAGGTGATGAGGAGTGTTAGAAAAGGGGATGGATGGATTGGGTGGTATTTGTGTTTTTAGGCAGTGTGGAGATTGTATGAATCTTTGAAGCGTGGTGCAACGTGTGGCGCGTGTGGGTGTGTGTATCTGATTGTCTGATGTTATGAGAGATGAGCTTGGTGGTGTTTTGGATTATTGATGCTGGGATGGCGGCGGGGGGGGAGGGCTTTTCTTTTGTGTTTTGGAGATGTGGGAAGCATTGGAGGCGTTTCTGGTGCGGATGGGTTAGTGTCGGGCGGGCTTTTAGGTTTGGGGTGTGAGCATTTTGAGGGCCAGGTATAAGTGTGCAATGTCAGAAGTATTATTCTGTAAGACACGCTTGCTACCCTAATGGTGATTTCCCCGGTCCTGTAAGCTCGTTGGATACATTCAAGACAGGCGCCTACCAATCAATCTAGGAATCACTCCAGCTCTGCGAGAACCTGATCCTGACTGAACCAGCGGGTCAAAAGAGATGCCATACGGGATTGAAATCGTGTCGACATCCGCGTCTGAAAACGTGAGACTCCAAATCAGGCCACATGCATCAGAGGGAGAGTTGAGTGTGGTGAGATGTGGTAACGGGAGCCCAGTCCGTGCGATTCGGAGGTGATTTTGGCATGTTATTGTGGGAGCCTTTATATCGGGCTTGTGGAGATTGTAGAAAGGCACGACAGGCTAAATTGGACTATGCATAGGAAGAAGGTTAAAGTGTTGTGAGATGTGGTCACTGGAGCCAGTCCGTGCGATTTGAAGGTGGTTTGGGCATGTTATTGCACGAGGCCCTAAATCAGACCTTGAAGAGACTTAAGAGGCACGACGGGCCAAATTAGACCGTGGAGGTGAGGGAGGTGACAGTGTTGTGAGATCTGGTAACAGGACCCAGTCCGTGCAATTTCGAGTCATACTTACCATGTTATCCCTCGCACCGTCGGGGTGCAACGCCAAGACGGCCTGTGCACCCCTGCCGTGCTGAGCTATACGCGAGGCATCAACAGAGCATGTAAACAGACTAAATAAGCTGTGATTTTTGCCATTTTTGATGCCACAGAATGCCCAGAACATCGAATAACATCGACTTCGTGAAGAAGAGCAACCCACGCACTAAAACGTCGAAAAAGCCACCCCTAGAGCCATGGCCCCTACCTACGTTCACTCCCCTGCAGATAGACAACTATTGTGACGGAGTACGTATTCCTAGCCAGCTAGCCTACGGAGTGTGGTACGGCTAGCGTCGGCTACCTTAATATAGAACACGGTTCCTATATTTAGCCC